TGCTCCCAGGAAGAGCCCAGGCCCGCTCTAAAGCCGAAGAAGAAAGGGGAGGCTCCCGGGGACTTACCTACGTGGGCTTGCAGCCTTCCAAGCTCAGTGAGAAAGGCAAGGAGAAAGAACATGGCTCAACCAGAGCGCAGGAGGCACAGCCAAGAACAGAGACCGTTGAGCAGCGCTGAGCTCGCGGGCAGGCTCTTGGCCACCGGGCGCCTGGGCCAGGGAGGACCCTATGCTGCCCCAGGACCCTGGGGGTGAAGCCTGAGAAGCTCTGGGGGCTGGGCCACTTCCGCAGGCCAGGGAGAGGAAATGCCAGATGGAAGCATAGGTTGCGCAAAATTTGTTGCAGAGAAGTTTAAGTTGTTTAAAGCCCTCAGTAGTTACATTGGGGTAAATGAGCCAGATTTTCCTTTTTAGTGAGGTTCTTGGTAATTTTGTTTCTCCATATCACGGTTTTATGGCAGGTTTTATTTACTAAGGTGGAAGAGAAAGAGGAAAAGAGAAATAACAGCTATTATTATTAGCTATTATTACTAGCAATTTTCTACATGCTACTGCAGACTTAAATATCTTTGCAAATACCGAAAAATCAAGAAAATTGAACTTTTTTTAATGCTGGTACAATTTCACCATTATTCATAATACCAAGACATGGAAGCAACCTAAGTGTCGATGAGGAAAGAGTGAATAAAGAAAATGTGATACTATACACAATGGAATAGTACACAGCCTTAACAAAGGAAATTCATTTACAACAACAGGGATGGAACCAGATAACGTTATGCTAAGGGAAATATGCCAGGCACAGAAAGATAAATACTGTATGATCTCATTTGTATGTGAAATCTAATAAAGTCTATCTTATAGAAAGGTGATTACCAGAGGCTAAGGAAGGTGCGATGAGGGATGGGGAAAGGGAAAATGTTGATCTAAAGGTACAAAGTATGAGTCAGACTGAAAGAATAAGTTTTAATGATCTGTTGCACTACATGGTGACCACAGTTAATATAATAAGCATATTTCAAAATTGCTAAAATTTATTTTCAATGTTCTCGCCATAAAGAAATGATAAATTGATGAGGTGATGGATATGGTAACTAGCTTGATTGAAGCATTCTATAATGTATACATAGATCAAAACATCACACTGTACCCTATAAATACACAAAATTATTTGAAATATATTTGCAAAAAAGAAAATGGAGTTTATCCTACTAAGACCATCAAAAAGCACTGTTCTTCAACTGTGTATTTTTCTCATAAAACTATATTATAATCAGTGGAGGAAAGAGAAAGGAAAGCTTTAATATTTAGTGTTACTTTTACAAATAAAGAGAATTCAAGAAAATGGAACTTTATCTTGAAAAGACAATCAGAAAGCCCTTTACTTCAACTGTGTACCTTCCTTACTACACAAGATTATAATATAGTGTTCTAAGGGAAAAGAAAACTTCTGCAATGCAATCTGACTGTTTTGTTAACAGTCACTCTAAACTCTGAGTAAGAAACTCTGGAGACAGGAAGGGCAGCAAGGCAAGGGGAGAGAGAAAAATTGAGACCAATGTGGAAGACTATGCAACTGCCTCCCTTAGCTTTTTGATAAATATCTTTTAAAAAAATGGCACATGTCCAAAACCTAACTCATCTACCACATTCAAGCCTTTTACTCCAGTACCCCCTATTTCAGGGATGAATTGTGTCCAAATATGTGTGCAAAAATTGTGTGCAAAAATAAAACTGATCAGGGCCGGACGTGGTGGCTCATGCCTGTAATCCCAGCACTTTGGGAGGCCAAGATGGGTGGATCGCCTGAGGTCAGGAGTTCGAGACCAGCCTGGCCAACATGGTGAAACTCTGTCTCTACTAAAAATACAAAATTACCCTGGTGTGGTGGTGGGTACTGACAATCCCAGCTACTTGGAAGGCTGAGGCAGGAGAATTGCTTGAACCCCAGAGGTAGAGGTTGCAGTGAGCCAAGACCGTGCCATTGTGCTCCAGCCTGGGCAACAAGAGCAAAACTCCATCTCAAAAAATAAAAAACAAAATAAATAAAACACATGTGGACTAAAACTTGGATCTGCCAGGTACTGGTACACCTGAACAGATAGCTCAAAAATTATTATTGACAAGAAGCAGGCCAGTGAACACAATGACCCAAAATAAGTTAGTGGAAATGAAGATGAGAGAAGTCTGCTAGAATTATCCCAGGTTGTATTTTCTGGTAAAATTATCCCAGGTTATATTTTTAAACAGCTTTATTGAGATATAATTCACATGCCATGCAGTTTACCCATTTAAAGCATACAATTAAGTGATTTTTAGTATGTTCCCAGATATGTGTGACCATCACTATAGTCAATTTGAAATTAGTTTCATTGCATCGTGAAAAAACTCTGTGCCCATTAGCCATACAGTACCCTTCCACCCCCAACACAAGTTCTTTGTCCCACCCCTCCACTCCCTAAATAACCACTAAACTAATTTCTGTCTCAAGAGATGTCTCTATTCTCGACATTTCATACAAATGAATATGTTATAGGAGGCAGAAAGAAATTATTTAGGTACACAGGGTAAAGTGAGTCCCTGGCAGAAATCTTTCCTTTTCACAAAAAGCAGCTCAAAAATAGCCCCCTTTCTCACCTCAGGCAGTTCAAAGAAGTCACTTCTCTTCTAACAACAAGCAGACGAAAGTTCAGGCTGTAAATCACAGATCAGCAGCTTGGGCACAGAAAGAAGGGGAAAGTCTCCTGGGTAATCACCAAACTTCACACTTACACAATGGGCCCCAGTAAAACAGCAGACTTTAATAAGCACATTCCTTTGCCTTTAGGCACACTAAGATAGGGAAGCTAAAAGCAGACTTGGTGGGGGGAGGGAATGCCTGTAGCTGCAAGAAGATGTCTGGGAACAGACACAGAAACTCTCCCTCCAAGATAAGCATAACAAAGTGACGCAGACAGATTCTGCCTATGTGGGCAGGGAATGGAATGAGAACTGACAAAAACTCTGCGCACACAGATAGCACACCTGGTCTCAATCAAATCGTCTGGCCCTAGGAGGACAAGACATCCCCTCCTCACGAGCCCCCTCCTCATTAGCCCATTTATAAAAACCCTGACAACTTGGCAACCCGCTTGGGACCCCTCTCTGTCCTTCCCTTTTGTCTATTAAACTCCTGCTCCAAACTCCCTCTGTGTGTGTGTGTGTGTCTGTGTGTGTGTCCATGACCTCAATCTCCTTGGCCATGAGACAAAGAATCTTTGTACTTGCCCCAGACAACAAGGCTGCTTCAAATACACATGTAAATATTTGATGCTTGTGACTGGCTTTATTCATTTAGCATAATGGTTTCAAGGAACAATCATGTTGTACCAGTGTCAGTGCTTCATTCCTTTTTAGGGCTGAATAATATTCCATTGTTTGGATGTACCACATTTTGTTTATCCATTTTTCAGTTGATGGATGTTTGGAATAGGAAACTCTGGACCTCTGTGGTGAGGTTCCTCCACTCCTGTCCGAGGAGCATCTTGGTTTGTGATGAAGACTCTGTAGGTCCTAATTGGACTCCAGGTGGGCTAGTGGATCCCTAACCCATGTGCAATGCTCTGCGATGTGTAGAAGTGCCCCCATCTCAGCAAGAGGCAGAGGGGAGGGGAGACCGAGGCAAGAAAATCTTACCCAGCAATGCCCAACTTCGGGGAAGATAGAGCAGCAAGTTTGGGTTTTCCCAAAGGACAGAGAAATCTTCTAGATCAGTTTATACAGGGCCAAGGAAGCATATGTACCTGATGGTACGATTGAGGACAGAGAGAAACCCTCTCATATTGTTTTATATTGTTTTATACTCAGTACCTGTTTTAAGAAAAAACAATGAAGTAAAACCAAAGACAGACAGCCCGGCGCCAGCCCCGGAACCAGGCCTGGGTCTGCCTGGCCTAAACCCAGTAGTTAAAAATGAACTCATGACTTAGAAACAGATGTTCCTGACATTGTATAGAAGAACATTGTGAAACTCCCTACCTTGTTCTGTTTCTCTCTGACTACCAGTGCATGAAATCCCTGTCGCGTATCCCTAGATTGCTTAATCGATCATAACCCTTTCATATGAAATTTTTAGTGTTGTGAGCCCTTAAAAGGGACAGAAACTGTGCACTCGGGGAGCTCGGAGTTTCAGGCAGTAGCTTGCCCATGCTCCCAGCTGAATAAAGCCCTTCCTTCTACAACTGGGTGTCTGAGAGGTTTTGTCTGCAGCTCGTCCTGCTACACTATGACCTCGAACTCAGTTTGAGCAATTTCCTGAGAAGAGATACTAGTGACTATCTGGGGGCTGTGAGAGTGAATACCTAGTAATTCTTCCACTCAGAATCCTAATGCCTGGAACAGACAGGGCAGGGGAATCATGAACTATCAGAGAGGTGTGGCTGTTGGTGTCCTCTCTTGAGATGGCAGCAGTCAGCATGACCGTGGGCATCTGAAGAATCTGAAAGTTTTCAGTTTTGGATGTAACAAGTGTCAGGCCTCTGAGTCCAAGCCTGCACGTATACATCGAGATGGCCTGAGGCACCTGAAGTACCACAAAATAAGTGAAAATGGTCAGTTCCTGCCTTAACTGATGACATTCTACCACTGTGATTTGTTCCTGCCCCATCCTAACTGATCAACTGACCTTGTGAAATTCTTTCCTTGGACAATGAATATCAGAAGCTCCGCACCCAGCACCTTGTAACCCCCACCCCTGCCTACATGAGAAAAACCCCCTTTGACTGTAATTTTCCACTACCTACCCAAATCCTATAAAACTGCCCCACCCCTATCTCCCTTTGCTGACCCCTTTTTCACACTCAGCCTGCCTGCACCTACATGATTAAAAAAGCTTTCTTGCTCATACAAAGCCTGGTTAGTAGCCTCTTCACATGGATGCGCGTGACAACTGGGTGAAAAAGAGGCAAAGTGTTTTTTTCCTAAAGATTCATGGCAGGTAGAATAATAGATACACACTTGCATACTTTCTGTCATAGAATTTATTTTGTTTGTGCAATTGAAAGCTTTAAGCCATAATGAAAGGAGAAAAAAGGCGATTTTTGTTTTCATTGTTGAATCAAACTAGTTAATGGTAAATTTCTTGGTAATATCCTTTCTCTGTCTTATGGCTTTTGATGTTGTCATGTAGTTACTGTTGTAAAAGAAATACAGAAAAATAGAAATGTTAAATTTTCATTGTTAATAAAAGTTGTCTACTTTTATAATGCAACTACAGGTATAGCAATTAATTAGTCAAATAAGACACTGCTTGTTATACTGTTGTATTAATAATTTGTGCCTGATACTCAAGACATTCATAAAGCAAAGTTCCTTATTCATGAATAATGTGTGACAGTCACATTAAAAGTAAATGTTGTAAATTCGTAGTCACGTACGTTTCATTAACATGGTCTCTAAATTTACATCGATAATGGAAATCACCAACAAGAAAACGGAAAGGGAAAGAGCAATGTAAACCTGTGAAAAAACAGAAAAAAAGTTCCTATTCATTTCTCTACTATATTATGTATCTGCAGAGGAAGAGAATTTTCAAAAACCCTCAGTGCATTTCCAACAGGTTTCCACATATACACATTCAAAACCATACTCATCATTCACTCCCCTCCACTTCCTCACCCCAACCTAAGACAGTTCTTTCCCTACTATACAGTATGTCCTTGGTAAAAGGTTTCACTATCCATTCTGCCAGAAAAGTAGAAGTCTTTGTAGTTCTCTCTTTAATTCTAATTCAAATACATCCATTCAGTAACCAATTCACCAGATTCTGCCTCTGTCATATTCCTGAAAATAGTTTTGTGCTTTTCCTCCTCTCTAATCCTGCCCTTGTCACATCTTTCCTGTGCATTCAGTAATCTCTTAGCTGCTTCCCCAGTCTGCAGTTCTGACAGAATCCATTCTCCCTACTTTATCCCAATGAAATAGGTAAAATGCAAAACATGTCATGCCAGATCTCTCTCTTACAACCTCAAAAATACTTCATGCTGTTGCTCATATAGAAAAACATTTAAAGTCCTTATTGTAGCATACCAGTTACTTGTCTTGGCTCATGTTACCTATTTTTTTTTTAATATCTCAGTATTCATAGATTTGCAAATGACTTTTAAAAAGCACAAAGATCCCAAATTCTAGAAAAAGGCCTAGTTTTACATTTTAGCCTTGCTGTTTTTCTGCTTTGCATCAATAGTCATATTATTTAAGCACTTTTTCTTATATTCTGCATCCAAACTGTCAATGCATTCTGTTGTGTCACCTTCAAAATGTATCCATAAGGTTATCCTTACCACTCCTGACTTGAAGTACTATCTTTTCTCTCATGTATTATTGCAGTATTTTCTTTACTTCTACTCTTGCGATCATACAGACGTTTTTCAACAAGTCAGCCTTTTAAAGAGTAAGGCCATGTACCGGGAATCTAAACTATTCAGTAATTCCTTCCTTTCACTCAAAATAAAACAGAGATGGACTCCAAAAGCTCCAAGACCCTTCATGGTGTTGCTTCTCTGACCTAACCACAACGACAGCCCTCTGACTAACTCTGCTCCAGGTGTACTCACGTCTTTGGTATTCTTCAAACATTCCCAACTTATTTTGTATCATATCATTCATGTGCTTAGAAATATATTGCCTAGATATATGCATAAGTAATTCTGCCAATTCCATGCCTCTGTAGGATAGAGTTGATTTACAGTTAAAATCGAAAAGCTCAATCTTTATCTCCAGGAAAGCCTGGGTGTCTGGTTTTGACTTTTTGTTGAGAAAAAGGCATTGGGATTGTTAATGGGCTGTTTAAAATCTACAATAAGGAACCTTGGAGCCCCTTGTTTTTCTGATCCCCCAATGCTTGCCTGCACGCTCTCTTGCTACACTGTACCCTTTACATTTAAATAGAAGCTTTTTGTGAGTTCATCCTTTGAACTTAGGTAACTCCTTTCAATGATCAAAACTGAGTAACTATTTCATCTCCTTCAGATTACTTGCTTACAAATCACTTGTGCTATATGACCTATTGAGAAAAAAATATGTAAAATTGTTATCCAATTCCTTCCACAACAGCAACTCTCCCACTCATCCTTGCTGCTATAATCTTTTATATATGATTAATCATGTTTCAATTTACTATATTATCACCTTGTATGTCTATTATTTATGGGCTGATAGCCTAACCCTCTATCTCATATTATTGAGGCAAGACTTCAATGCAACCAGAAGCTACTGTTGGCAGAAGGAAGCTGTGAAAAGAGGGAAAAAGGAAAGCAAGATGTTGCATTTACGACTTATGAGTTGGAAGAAATCAGGGAAATGGTAAGCTCTAGGAGAAAATGACTATGGTTGGCCGATGGTGGTGGTAGGGAGTTCAGGTGAAGACACACAACAGGACGGTGAGATTCTGATTGAAGGACATGAGAAGAAGGCAGTAGCCAAGTGCCAGAATCCTCAGGTAAGGCATAAGCTTCTAATAAAGTTTTTAATGAGGATGTAGAGATTGATCTAGGCATGAATAAAACGTTTACATTGAGGTTACAAGTTATAAAGGTTTTATTTGGTGGCAGATAAGGAAATAGAGACCCATGGACATAATTATTACTCAAACTCTGATACAAAGGAATGGGAGATAACCAATTGGATGAAATCTTGATCTTGCTCTATATTGAATTTTTGAATTTTTCAATTTACTGCCAGTAATAGACCTAACATCAAACTTTATTATTTTTCTACCCATATGAATTTGAACAGTACACGTGTATGCCTATTTCAAGCCATTTCATGGTAAATAATTAATTGTCTTTCTGCCTTGGAAGGAGAGTATATTTAGCATTTTGCTTAGCATCAACTAGGTCCTCAATCCATGTGTATTCTATTCCTTATCCCTAACCACATATCAGGCTATGTTTTAAGATTGTAAGTTTCTACTCTAGAGTTTGATTGCTTTAAGTTAAACCCCAACGGCAAAACTTACTAAAACTCTATAGATATGAGGAATTACTTAAATTATTTACATCCGTATTCTTATTTCTAAAATAAGGATAATAATACCCATATAGTGTTATTAAGGAAAAACTGTAAATATAGGGAAACAATCTGTGTAAATCAACTAGATTTACCAATTTCTAAACAAATTAGAATCTTAAATGAAGGAGCAGGAAATATGATTATTCATAAATACTTTAAGAATGTATGTAAAATAATTTGGAAGTCATTTCTTATTACAAAAATATTTTTAATAAATATCTGGCTGATATCAGTTACATTAAAATATTTCCAAATTAGCATAAAGCAGTAATAACATAAAATACTTTAGTCTTTTCTTAGCATATGATATTAAAATGTAGAAGCTGTGATGATAAAATATGGGAATAACAGCTTTCTCAAACTAAGGTACTGTTAAAAATTTTTAAATATGTATGTATTATGAATTATATCACTTACCTCTATGACTGGTTGCTGTCACTACTGCTGTTACTGTTGCTGCTACTACTGCTGACTTCTGATGTAGAACTGTACAAAAGAGATTAACATTGGTTTTAGGGTTAATAGCCGTTGTAATCTCAAGCAAAATCAAGAAGAGTAAAAAAGCTACATTTGTGATAGCTAATTAATAGGTACCGATACCACACTTTTCTTTCCATATACCTCTCAGAGAGCATACATTTTTGTGTTTGGCCTTTATCTAATGTTGGTCTAACATTTTTTACTTTCCACTTACACTTTTTGCTCAGTGCCAAAATTCCTTCATTTTATTCCATTTAAGACCAGTGACGGCAATTAAAATGAGGAAAGGTAGAAAACTGTAGGAACTGATGAAAAGGCCATTTTTCTGAGGAAGAGCATGTCGTTTCACAAACAAGGGTGTACTTTTTCCTGAAAACATGAGAGGGACTTTTACAAACGTGATATTTAAAGCGTACTGCTGATTTGAATTTTAAAATTTGAAATTCAAATACAGTTATAGAATAAATACATAAATTTGAATTTAAAAGTGTTTTCAAATCTTCTATGAACTGTGCCCCAAAGTGCATTATATGTTTATGTCAACTCAGTACACTTACACATATCTCTGACAATATACAGCCATTGGCAATATGCAATATTATTGACAAATTTAGTCTTAAACTTTTAGCTATATTTAATCTTTATTTACATGATATATTCTAATCTATCATATTCTAACATATTCCCGTCTATGAATGCCTACATATAACACATTAACTTAATATTATCTAATAACGTGTTCTTCAGATTAAAAATGGAGCAAAAAAACTGTTTCAAAGTAATTTTATAAAAAATTATTGAGGGTGAATCATAAAAATTAATAAATGATAGTACTTAAATTGAAATAAATAAATAGAAAGATATGTGTTCATATGTTCATGAATTAGAATTAATATTGCTTAAATGTCCATACTACCCAAAGTAATCTACAGATTCAATGAAATTTTTATAAAAATATCAATGCTATATTTCATATAAATAAAACTTTATAAAATTCATATGAAACCATAATATAAACATACATGGAAAAAGTAGAATGGTGGTTACCAGAGGCTAGGGGCATAGCAAAAATGAGGTGTTGGTCAAAGGATGCAAAGTTTTAGTTAGATAGGAGGATTAAATGATAAGTATTCGATAGGATTGACATGCTAATTAACTTGATTCAATCATTCCACATTGTATATATATATCATAACATATCATAATATGTCATGACACATCATAACATGTCATGACACATCATAACATCACTTCTTACCTCATAAGTATATACAATTATAAGTTGTCAGTTAAAATTACAAACATTTAAAAGTAAATTTTAAAGCAGAGCTATATAAGCAGTTTCAAAA